GTATGTCTTTAGATGGTTTGCTAACCTCTCTCCAATTAGGTACAAACATTATCTGGTGGTGAACTGCAGCGAGTAGCTTTGGCTCTTTGCCTGGGCAAACCTGCTGATGTCTACTTAATTGATGAACCATCTGCATATTTGGATTCTGAACAAAGACTGATGGCAGCTCGGGTTGTCAAACGGTAAATGTCTTGCTCATAATAGTAATACTTTTGGTTATGTATACTGGCATAAAGTGTGCTTAATATAACATCTGAATGTTTTATGATAAAAAGCTATAAAAGATTTCAAAATCATTGTGTTTTAGTTTCATACTCCATGCAAAGAAGACAGCCTTTGTCGTGGAACATGACTTCATCATGGCTACCTATTTAGCAGATCGGGTCATTGTTTTTGATGGTATTCCATCTAAGAACACAGTGGCAAACAGGTAAAATTACTTTCTAAAATTTTCAGAGCTAACTATAAGTTCTAACAATTAGGAAATAATTAAATTTTAAATTTTCCAGTAAGTTTATAAACATTAAAGTCATACCACTTTCATTTTTAATAAAACGTCAAAGAACCAAAAAGTCTAAACCTGATTCTGTGACTCCACAGATTATTTATATTGAATACTGTATGGGACCAGGTAGAATAGTAGTTTTTTGACTACAGTATGGAATCCCTGACCTAGGAGCATAAACACACAGAGCTCTGGGCTCCTCACCTTTTCTTTTAGCTTAACTTTTATCTGCTTTATTATTTGAATTTCCAGAAAAGGATTTTGTTTTTACAAATAATTTCCTAAAAGCTATTAATGCTATACATGACAGAAAAAGAAAGTAAGATCCAAAGAGACATGATTTGCCCTGCTTATACTGACAGTGATAGTTCACAGTAGGTCCCAAATAATCTGGTATTGATCTACAGCAGGGTTAAAATGAATGATTTTACCTTTTTCTCCTCTTTCCTCTCATTTTTCCTTATTACCTTGATTGTGAGCACTTGCAATATAGAGAAGCCTAACATTCAAATCAGGTTATGAGATATTTCTTTTACCTTTAGTGCTAAAACCTGTATTAAGTTGAACTATATGAAATTACCAATATCCAAACATTTTTGACCTATAAAATAGCAGTTTCATGTGGTTCCAATACTATATTTTCTGATATTGGAGAGGGAGGAATGGAATTGCTGTTTAAATAATTCATCTAAGAAGTGAAAGTGTTTTACTGAGTGAGATTCTTCCCTGAATTTGTTTTCTTCTTAAATTTGTATATCAATTAAGGAGAATAATATATTTCTCGAAGATTTAGGCAAATTTCTTAGAATATATAAAGCTTATTCACATAATGATCCTCCCTTTGTATTTACAAAATGCTGAAAATGTTCCACATACATGTCATAGTTTGGCATGATTTAAGACCTAGTTTGGGTGAAAAAGATACATAAAGCATAGAAATTTAAAAAGGAATTATTACTGAAAACCACTATGTAGAAGTACATACTCCCTCCAATGCCAAGTTTTTAACATAAATGTAACTTCTTGTTAAATTGTCTTCTCCCCTAAAAATGTCACCTTTGAGATTCTGTAATCTCCTTATTAATGATCTTTTGTTTTTCTAAAGTAGTACTTCTGTCTTAAATGCTTTTTTTTCCAGAGCAGAAATACAGGTTAAACTGTGTGTGTTTTACACAAAAATATTATAGCCAAGAAAACTATATAGTTCAAGAAAAGCCATTTCTGAACATAGGATTTATAGTATGTTGTGATTATACTATTATCCGGATGATTTACGTTTAGGGATTTGAGGGAATAGCGATTCTTAATGCTCTTCATCTCAAAAGGTAGTTACATTTAGGGGATAAAATTTAATCAAAATTGATCTTTTTTTCTCCTAGTCCTCAAACCCTTTTGGCTGGCATGAATAAATTTTTGTCTCAGCTTGAAATTACATTTAGAAGAGATCCAAACAACTATAGGCCACGAATAAACAAACTCAATTCAATTAAGGTATGTGGAAAAATTATCTTAAATCATGGACGTCTGTCTCAGTATAAACAATTAAAAGACTGTTTCTTTAAAAATCAAAACCATATTTCAATAATTCTAAAATTCATGTTTTTTACATTTTAAGACCTGATAGTAACTTCAGTTTTTTAAGCAGCAATTGTGATGTAGCTGCCATTTCTGCATGGACTCAGGCAGAGCTGTTCATGTTGTCCCCTAAGAGTTGTACGCATGGTTGTACTACCTATGCTAATTGCCATTCACAGTGTCTTGGAAAGAGTACACTAAATCACCATTGAAGTAAATTTTTTAAGAATGCCTTAACCAATTTCTCTTACGTTTCTTATGTTTTTCAATACATGATAAAAATGTATACTATAAAAGTTTAAACAAGCCTTTTTGATGAGGAAAACATTGTGTCAGCTTAGTAGTGTTTTTTCTGTCTTTGTAGTCATAAAATAATTGTGTGCCCTGTACTTGATTAGTCTGTGAGGTACGCTATTTGTTTTTTAGAAGGCAGAAATCTCTTGGTTGCTTTAAAAAGAAGAAAGTGAATGAACTCTAAGAGCATTTCTACTGTTCTAAGTATCACCTGCAGTGCCTACCTAAAATATTTACATTTTGTTGCCCTGTATGCATCATCCTAACACTTAAAAGCTTTATACATACCTCTGCTGTAGCATTTATTTTCCTGTTTATAGTCCTGGCTTTGATACAAACCATGAGCTCTTGGGAGGCCAGAGGCAAAGTCATCTTGCATATCACTGTATTCTTAAGCACCTAACATGATGTCTGGATGCCTTTAGCCTTCACTGCATATTTTGTTTATAAATGATTGATATTACTCCCTGACCAGGATAAAGAACTGGTAAGTTTTGAGGTGAAATCGAAGAGTTTTCTCCATTCTGAAAAGCATATTAAGCAGAAAAGAGAACAGGAATTTCTTCTGAAGCATTATGAACACTTTGTATTGTCATTTTCTTGGGTAGATGCATAGTTCTTCCCTCAGGTACAGCTGTTAATCATTTCTATATGCCCACTCATCTTAGGTAGCCATACCTTAGTCCTAATAAGGGAACAAGTGGGCAAGTAGCTAGATGGATTACGACTGGCCAGTCTATAAACAGATTTGGGAAAAACTATTTTTATGTATATTTTGGGTAATAGGTAGTTCTAAGGCTGACAATATGCTGCCTTTTGGGCCAGGAATTGAAATAATGAAACTGGAATTTAATAGTTTCCCAGAAATAATATTATACTACGTGACAAAATTTTACATATGTAAGGCATCTTATTTAAAGGGACTTCGCTTGAGTTGGCACAAGTGAGTCTTTGTAGTAGTAGGGATGAGGGGCAGAGGTGGTAATCTTGCCTTTGATCCAGAAGCAGTTGATGGCTGCAGAAGAGGTTGTACAGGAACTGTTGTTAAACACAGTTAAGTAATACTGTGGGTGAAAGTCTACCTTTACATATAGGAGGATGGTGTTGCTGATTCTTGTTGCTTCTCTGTTTTATTTTTTAGGATGTAGAACAAAAGAAGAGTGGAAACTACTTTTTCTTGGATGATTAGATTCACTGAGAATATTGATAAGCCATTTATTAAAAGACACAATGACTATGATTTTTGTCGTATAAAACTTGAATCAGGTTTTACATCCCACATACTCTGGAGCTTGAAGTAGAATGTACTTAATGTAACATCAAAAGCCAGTTGTGTTGTAAATTGTAGTCTGAACACAGAAAATACTTTTCTGTTCTTGATGATAAGGTCCTTTTGTGCATAATATTCTAAAATGAAGACACATTTCAAGCTATACAGATTACCTCCAAGTTTTCATGACATATGGGAAGATTTTCAGTAGGTGTATTATATTCATATACCAAATGCTGACCAGTGTTGCCCCATTTTAAAAATCTTAAAAAAAGTTTCTGTGCTTACCTGGTTTGCCAAGTATGCCAGTATAATGAAACTGCCCTTATTTTAAAAGCCAGTCGAATACTCCACTGGTGAGATTTGATAAATAAACATCAGGATTATATTTATTGTTTTCAGTCTTTGCACTATATCATCAGTGTATGGTTTCCAAGGAAGATTATCTATTACAAAACACTATTGGAAAATAGGTATTTGTTACATAAGAATTGTTTTTAATGTTTTTTGGTGCTTTTAAACATCTTTAGCAAAAACCATTTCAGTTCCCCCACCCAAAAAAAAAACCTAACTTTACTCTAAATTTTTCAGTTTTTGCCTTGTAAGATTCTGTATTATATAATCATTCTCTCAAGGTAATGTCATTTTTTATCATACCTTTATATAATCACTGATCAAGATTTAGGAAAAAGCATTTCTAAAGAGTATTTGCTTCCCTTAAAACTACAGACTCACAATCTTTAAAGACGGTGCCTAAGCATCTATATATTTTTTAAACCTCCACAGATTTTTCTGATGGGCAGCCAAGGATTGTAAACCACTTCCCTAAAGGCAGCATTAATGCAAAAATCCCCAGATAGCAATACAGAATATCCCTTAGTACCAAATATATTGTATTCATTTCTAAGTTTAGATATATAAACTCATTCAAATTTCTTGAGTTCCTTGGTTTGAACAGCAGGATACCTGTAAGCCTGAAACTACTTTCAGTTGTACTTCTGACTAATGCATTGAACCGGAATTTAACTTAATTATGAGTGAGGAAAGAGGGTTTACAAAATAAACTATTGGGACAAGCAAAATAGAGGAGAAAATTAGAAATTATTTGACAGACTTTTAGAGCTCCTTGAAATAATAGAAGCCTTGATTAATATGTAAACAGTGAATAGAAAGTATGGTTCAACTGGATCCCATTAGGCCTTTTAAAAAAATAATTTATGTAAGTAACCCATAAATACATGTTGTAAAAATTCAAATATACATTAAGTATATGGAATAAAAAAAAGGTGTCCCTTTATTACCCTCCCAAAGGTTACCAGTGTTTGAATTTAATAATATATATTCTTTGATGCTTTTTTCTGTGCACTTACCTAAGTGTGAATATGTAAAAGATTTATTTATTTACATATTTGTTTGTAAAGGATAAACATTATACTAAAATAAGTAGTACCTATTTTTAAGGAATAGGTTAAATTTGTGAATGATCATTTCAAATATATGGAATAAAAGAAGACAAAGGCTATTTTTATTTACTGATTCCGTAGTCTGCCCTAAAGAAAATACTTGTGATATAAGAGCACAGTTCTTTCTACTTATTGTTGATGACAGAATATGTGTTAATTATAAGGAAATTTTTTTGTGTGTAAATGAAAATTTTATATATGAATAGAATTGCAATTGCTAACACAAGGAAAAGATTTATCTACAAAATCAGTATTACATGCATTAGATGTTAGCTATTAAAAAGAATGAGACTGCTCAGTATATCTTGACTGGAAAAAGTCTCAGATACAAAGAAAAACCAGTGCAACACAGTTTATATACTACCATTTATGTGAAAATATACAAAATATTTACATATACAAAAGGATACTCAAGAAACAACATCACTTTTGGGAAAGACAGCTTGGCTAAAGAATAGGGAAGGGAAGGAGACATTTATATACACACATAATGCCTTTTGAATTTTATTAATATATATATTACATGTATTAACTTTAAAAATCACTGAAGTTTTGAAATTGTCATTAGAGGTAATCCATGTTTATTGGGTTCGCCTAGTTTAGAGCAGTCTTAACAAAAGCTGTGAATTCTCCAACCGTTTTATTCAATTTAAGTTAACCTTTAGACCGTAAGTATCTTGAAGACCAGTCCTGTATGTGTCCTGCTTACCACTCAGTGCATACATGGTGTCTGGCACATAGTGGCCTACTTTATTGAAGGAGTGAACCTACATGCCACAGAGAAAGAAATAAGACTGGAAAACTACTCTGTTGTATAATTTCATTCATGTTCACCAACAGACTTAATACATGTGAAGACCTTAACCCAGTGCCTGGCATATCGTGAGCACTCAGTGGTTCAGAAGAGAAAGTAATCGTTCTGAGTTGGAAAAAGTAATAGCACTCATCTCACTGAGTTGTTGTAAGGATTAATGAGATAATCCATGTAAAGCAGAATACATGTCTGGTCAAAGGCAGAAATGAGCACGGACATTCAAGAGATGAGTGGGAAGAAAAGATGAATGAATACAGGCAGATTCTGAAGAGCGCTCTGTGCCTTCAGGGATGGAAGTTAGGTTTCTACATGCTGAAAGCAGGAACTGAAAAGACACAAAGCAAGGCCAATTAGAAAAGAATTATCAAGATAGCAGTTGTTCAAGAGCTTATGTTTTAACATTTCTATCCTTTTGTCTTTTGAAAAATTTATAGTCCACATAATTCATGCAGGTCTAAATTTGCTGTATATTGTCTCTATTGACTTGCTCTTGGCCAATTAATTCTTTCCTTGTATTTTGGTTTGTGAGTTGATGTTCAGTGAGGCTGTATCTGAAAATTTAGAGATTTAGTGTGGCAAATACGGTTTCTTCTGAACCCTGTACTCACCACCACCTCCTTCCTTGCCAATTTGTTAGGGCAGACAGACAATGTGTCCAACCCCAGGTGGTTGGTCATAATTAGTCTGAGACAATCATGACAGTCCTCTTCCATGTTTTCCCAGTCTCTCTTGCAGTTAGACCGTGTGACCCAGTTCTAGCCAATAAGTTGAAAGCAAAAGTCAGTTGGGGTATTTCTGGAAAACCCCTTGCTTAATAAAAGGAGATAGGTATATCTCGTACTGCTTCTTGAGGATGTGATTGATGGAGCAAGCATTTTGTGCTCATAAGGTGATCATATAAGGGAAATGCCAAGAAAGCTACAAGGATGCTAGCCCTGACATCAAACACTGCTCAGCTGCCAGCAGCCACTTCCCTCCAGATTTCTTATGAAAAATCACTATTTGTTTAATCTACTGTAATTCAAACTGGTTTTGTGTCACTTGCTGCCAAATAACCTTGGCTCCTTGGCTGAGGTCTCTCCCTCTCCAAAGGCTTTCTTTCCATTTGCCTTCTGCTAGGCGACCCAAGAGTATTAACCACTTGGAACCACTTTGGTTTTCTTAGTTTGCAAATTCCTGGACCCCAAACCCAAACAAAGGCGGTGACATTTTCAGTGGAGTGTGTTTTGTTGTTTTGCTTTCCATCCAGAAACGGGAACCCAGAATAAGAGAGGGTTGTCTATAGGAATTTTCACTAGTAGTGACCTTTTCACTAGGGTGATCCTGGCTTTACTGCCAGTGTTAGTTGCAGCTCCCAATCTTATATGTTCCCAAGTATCCATCTCCCATATCGACACAGTTCTCGGCTAATGAAACTGACATCCATCCCTTCTCACGGAGCACAGCCTTAGTAATCACTTGTTTGTGCATCCAGTTTCCAGTGTCCATTTATAAAAAGTACCTTATAAAATTCCAAAGGACTTTAATGCTTTTACTAACTCCTAGTTTAGAAAGTAAATTACAGGAAGCATGCAACAAGTTAAACAAGTAGCAGGTGTATCCCTGGGTAGGTAAACGGCAGTTTTCCATTTCATCTGAAGGTGATTAGTCCAAAGCTGAGGTTCTCATTTTTTAAAAAAAATTAGTTTATTACACAGAACTTCTTTTGTTAAAAACAGTTAATAACCTCCCAGGTTAAGAAGAATATTCAAAGAGAAGCAGCTGTAAGAACTATACTCTTCATCTTCTTTATTTACATCTTTATAAGGTTTTTGCCTAAATGTGAAAAATGTCATTACAGGAATGGTATGTATTTTAAGAGTTGACTCTGAAGCCCCAATTTCTCTAATGAACTCATTATAGAATTGATATTAAAAACCGTAACATGTTTATACCAATGTCTGTAGTTTCTCTTAGAAAACTTAAACTGTTCCGAGGGGTCCATGATTCACTTTCAGAAGAGCTTATAAATTAAGTTAGGGTGCATAAGTCTATGAAGAGAAGCTGTGTCTACCTAACTTCCTCTTTTGCAGTTACTTATATTCTCACACTATTCCCCAGACCTAAGTCTTTCAAGGTTCAGTGAAGGCTTAATAAATTATTCGAAGTGAACAAGCAGGTTCCTATAATTATAGAGAACCTTAAGAGAAACCCTGTACCAGACACTTCTTGAGGACCATTCACTGAACTCATTTGGTCTTGCCTTTTATCCCATCCACTTTTTGGAGGGACCAATTCTGCAAGGGTCCCAACCAGCTACAGATACATCTCTTGCTTCTCTGCTCCTGCTCTGGCTTCTGTTGACTTCTCAGATGAACCCCTTGGCACATAGCTAAGAAATAAATGCTTTTTCTCCATCCTCTCCCCTTCCCCCAAGGGTTCTTGTTGATGTTTCACCCTCAAGCAGTCACAAATGAAACATCCATACAGCTGACCAACTCATGTTTATACTGGCTCCTCCTTCCCAGCTTGCTGCCTCTGTTCCTAGATCAATCACTTTTCTATCAAGTACTTGCACTAAAGGAGGCCTTTAACAAAGTATTGATTTGACATTATTGTTTGGTGACTTTCATATATAAATATGGCGTTAAGAAATTGTTGGGTTTTCAGAGTAACTATGCTTGATAACCTTTGCTTTCAAAACCTTCAATTTTCGGTCTTTCTCCACTTTCGGAGACTGACCCATTCCTCTCTGGAATGTACTCTTTGTGTAGCTCCCTTTTCTGCAATAAGTTGTTTGTGTGGGGCGGGGGACTTTAAATTTTCTTCGTGTTTCTTTAGACAGCATAATTATTTTATTGAGACAGTCTCACTCTTGTTGCCTGGGCTAGAGTGCTGTGGCATCAGCCTAGCTCACAGCAACCTCACACTCCTGGGCTCAAGCGATCCTTCTGTCTCAGCCTCCCGAGTAGCTGGGACTACAGGCATGTGCCACCATGCCCAGCTAATTTCTTTCTATTTTTAGTAGAGACAGGGTCTTGCTCTT